CCAAAACTGCACATTGCCTATGGCCACAATGAAACGAAACGCGCTTGTAAAGGGGTTCAGAAAAGTCATAATGACTTACGGGTGGAAGAATTTTTGGCGGTTTTACAAAACCACCAGCCTATTCAGGGTGTAAACCGAAGTTTTCTCTACGAAAACGGGCATACGTTAACGGTAGAGCAGCATAAGACGGCACTGTCCTATTTCTACTACAAACGTTGCGTGGCTGACGAAGGCATCCACACTAGCCCTCTCCGACTGTGTTAACCTCAAACCATTCCGGTTTGAAGCTCCCGTTACGGCACTCTGTGGTGGAGCAACGCAGTCGGGTAAGAGTGAGTTTTGGAAGTGCGTACTGCAAGAACGACCAACTGAACCTTTCCGTAAAAAATACAACGGTATTTCCCTGCAGGCACCCAACAAGCACTGCACGACGAATTGCTCCAGACAGTCCCTAACGTTGTCTTACGAATTGGCCTACCAGACTTTGAGAATACCGAATTCCTCAAAGAGTGTCACAACATTTTGTTGATTGTTGATGACTTGCTATTTGAAATCAATAACAAGGACGATGTATTAGCTAGGTTTTTTAGTGTGCATTCGCATCACTCAGCCTGTTCGATTGTTTTGCTAACGCAGACACTGTTTTTCGATAATGAACAGTTTCGCGTGGCCGCGCTGAACAGTCGATATATTATTCTGCTTAAAAGCCATCGATTTGCCACGCAAATCGCTCTGTTAGGCAGAAAACTCAGCAGTGTCTGTCACAACCTCATTTCGGCCTACCAGTCATGTACTCAAGGACGGCCATTTGCCTATTTTAGTCGTCGACTTGACATGTAATTGTCCAGAGAAGGGACGTCTGCGTTCAGACATTTTCGGAGTAGATCGTTTCAATTCTATCTACCTATCCCAGAGATAAATGGTTCTACCTGGCAGATTACCATCGAATATCTTTCGAATAAAATCTCTGCTACATGTCCTGGCCAACGAAGGTCCAGAAATTGGGTACGCCCTTCTTCGTACTCTGACACCTGAGCTGACCAAGGGTTTAGCTGAACTGTGCTATAATTTACTCTGCGGCAACTTACCGTTGACCGACGACGATGACGGCATCGCTTTTTTTCGCCGCCATAAGTCATTGTTGCGTATTCTAGCCAACAGTTGGACCAGTAAAAAGATTTCAAAATAGTGTTTGACTAAGAAAGGTTGCTACGAACCTTTACGTCGCTTAGCTGAAGTCACTTTGAGATATTTTAAGCGCTGTAGACCAGCGCTGAAAGCCCAAAGCAGTCCTTCCAGCAATACTGAAAACAATAATGAACCGTCCCGTCGTTCGTTACAGTCTAGTGCCAGTCTAGCCATCACTGGATGACGATTATAAAAGCCACCGATTTGGTAGCTTACTATTAGAATTTCTCTTTCTAAAACATGACTCTGCAATTCGCCAGTTCTCGTCTGCGACACCTGCAAGCCGAGGTAGCGGAACAGAAACAGAGGTTACGCAACACCGTCCCTCCCCCCCCCCCAACGGCGACCCCGCCGTCTGTCGATGGGGCATGGCGGTTTCCGGCGGCGTCGACGCCCTTCCCAGCACCGAGACCGGTTACGCCGATCCTCACGTCGACGCCCATCCGGCGTAGGCGGTCGGCAGCGCCGCCACAGCCTACTCTTCCAATGATCAACGAACCAATACTCGTGGGTCGTCGACGTCAGCGCCGCAGCCGAAGACAAAGACGTCGGCCACTGCTCACGGCTTAACAGACGAGCAAATTAAGCGCTTAACAAAGGATCTACCAGCGACTGCTAAATTTGAAGGTCAGAAATCACTCAACTAGCTAAAGCGACAGCAAGACCTTCAGTACGAGGTGAAGTGCAAAACTTTACTAGCGGCTAAAACATTGCTAAGCACCTTTAGAGAAGGATTTCTCAACGCGTATTGGATAGATTTGCTTGCTCCTTTTCTTAAAAAATTCAGCAGGCTCTTGTCTTGGCTTTTGGTGAGGCGAACTGAAAAACGAGTAGGGATACAGACACAGGAATTTAAACTGTCCAGACTCTTCCTCGATATTAGGGAAAACACTCCCTGAAGAGCGGCGCCACACGTTTCCGGTCGGTCAGCTGACTTCACCTGAGTAAGGCAGCAGCCTGCCTCGTCGCTTGAAAAGTTAATAATGTTTCCGCAGCACCAGATTATCCCAAGGACAAGTCCTTGATTAATTGATATTAAATGTTTCCCACTTAAAAGTTTTGTGAATTTCATTTTGTAAATCATTCAGCATTGCTGAAATTTGCTGTCCTCGCTAGTCCTTTCTGTTCTTCTTTGACTGCGATAATATTATCGCTGTAATACTGCTGTGCGAACATGGAGAAGCCTGTGAGGAAGTACAACGGAAATCATACTGGTCTGCTGGATGCGTTGGCAGCAATCGAGAGCGGAGCGACGACTACGAACCGAGCCTCAAAACACTTCGGTATCCCTCAGAAGACGCTGAGCAATAAGATCAACGGAGTTCATACGAAGAAGGTTGGCAGACCTCGAACTTTTACGGATGAGGAGGAGAAAGAGATCTGTGACATCTTACTGTGCTGCGCAAAGGTTGGAGCACCGCTCAACAAGAGGAAACTGATGGAAATCGTCCGAACAATTGCACTTCACAAAGGTAAATCTTCTTCGTAAACAGGTGCCGTAATCAAAGCTCTTCCTCTTCCGCCGATCGGGTATTCCCATGTCAATTTAACTACCTAGTGGGCTAGCGAAGCTGTTTCTGTTCATGTGTGGAATGGTATTATTTATAGGCATTGACGAAGGAAAGTTCGGTTCTCGGTGGCACCGAGATCTTTTGGGCAGGCATAAGGAGGTGTCGTTGCGAACGCTTTGTGCTGTAAGCATGAAGAAGTCAAGAGAATGGACCAGAGATCGATGTGAAGGATGGATCAAGTTGCTGCAGGAATACGCTGATGATGGATATTTGAGTAATCCAGATGGAATTTGGAATCTCGATGAGAGCGGATTCAAGCTTGCTGAAATGTACGATAAAGGATAGGCCCAGAAAGGAACGCCCAATGTTACTGGGTACGTCAAAGGTTCGGCAAGTGATCGCGACAATATGACACTTTTAGCTGTGGGAAACGCCAGCGGAAAGATGCTGCGGCCGTTGATACTGTATAGCGGGAAACTTCACATCGAAAGTCACTTTGACGAGATTGATGACCAGTGTTTCCTAAGTACCAATGCTTCTGGTGTGATGGACACCTTTGTGCTGACGGATTACCTTGAGAAAGAATGGCTTCCATCTCTAACCTGTGAAAAGGTACGGCTCGGCTAGACAAATTTGATTCTTGAAAAATTTTCGAAAAAAATAATCTACATTTTCAGAATATCTTATTCTACGATGGCCATTGTTCACATCTGAACTGCCTTGCACTTCTCGCCGCTTGTATGGAAAGGAGCATCGAAGTGGTGTGTTTACCTTCCGGCCAAACCAGTTGCCTCCAACCTTTGGACAAGAAGGTATTCGGTGGTGTGAAACAAAAGTGGCGCCAGTATCTTCAAGATTCAAGGATGAACACTGATATCGACGTAAGAACTTAATTTTTGCTTCTGACTTGATCAGCCCCTGTCTAGTTCTCGTCTTTCTGAACCGCTCATTTTAGGTGACTCGTCAAAACTTTCCGTCGCATATTGTCAAGTTATGGGCTCCGAATGCTTCGCCATATTCGTTCAACCTAGGCGGTCCTTTGAAACATGGCTTTGAGCTGACAGGACTCTTTCCCTTCAGCTCTGACGTACTAAGAGCAACCGTTATCCAAATCTACCGGTGGACGAAGATGAGGATGAGGATCAAGAAGTGATCGCGCGTAAGTACCATTACGGTGAGATTTCCAAATTTCTTCAAGAAAGCCTGGGCCTAGACGAGGACAAGACTAGAACATGCCTAATCCAGATCAAACAGATTGTCCAGCGCGCATCAGCTGCTCAAGTTATCGCTACTGACTTCCACGCTCATCTGCTGAAAGCGGCACCAAAGAGAAAAAGACAGCTAAAAGATTCTCGTCTTGATCCCAAGCACGGCTAGCTTTAACTCGATCAGAATTCATCAGTGTCAAATTGGACGCAATCCGCAAGGCCAAAGAACAAAAAGCCAAGACCAAGAAACAGAACAAGAAAGATGCTGTTGCTCGTCCCGATGATGTCCCTGTAAGCGCCAAGAAGAACCCACGCACACGGAAAGCAACTCCGAAGACGCCAAAGACCAGCGAAGTTCCAGTAGATTCGTCCGTTCCATCCACCAGCAAGGCTCCAGGTCGAGCCCGGCTAGCCAGAACCGCAAAGAAAGCCGTCGAATGTGCGAATTCCGCATTGAAAGCACCTCCCAAGCCGAGGAAGCCCAGAGCAAAGAAACAGTGAAGTCGGTAGCAGATAATTGTATCGAATTTTGTTTTTTAAAAACGACTCTTTGTCCAGATCAGGTCGTTCAAATGCTACCTCGCCGAGGTTCTAGGCGGTTAAAGCAGAAAGCCTTGTCCAGTGCCACCTTTGTGACAGTAAAACTACAGTGATTTCTATTACAGTTCGGCCAAACGAAAATCTCCGCGGAAACTTTACTAACTTTTCTCTCACAGCAAGGCTTGCTCTGGCTGCTTCTTGTTAGATTTTCCAGCACCGCAACGCCACCTTGAAACCCAAGGTAGTAATGTTTTAGCCGCTAGTAAAGTTTGGCACTTCACCTCGTACAATGAGGATACGAGTGGTATCCGCTTAGGGAATCTTACGCTCGAAGCCAACATTGTTAATTATTTTCATCGCGTAGTCGGCAAAGGCGCTAACCTCAATGCTGACGCTGCGATCCTCTATGATGAAATTCGGCGACGAATTCCTGAAGGAAAAGCTTTGCCTTTCACGCCTAATCCTAACCTTCTCTATACATATCCCAAAGAAAATGAAATCGCTCTGGGACCTGCAACCCCCGAAAAAACTGAAAAAATCTCCCTGGAAGCGCGGAAAAAGAAGCAGCGCTGGCACGCAGAGCTGGTTTTCCCCATAAGAAAAAGGCAACACTTCGCTACACCTTATTTTTGATTACGGTCTAACCGTCTAAGTCTTCAGCCTCAGAAAGAGTTTTTTTGCCGATTAATTTTATGGCTCACCTAGTCGAAGCTCAAAGCTACAGTACGACGCAAACCGCACTTGAAATTAGTTTAAACCAAGTAATTCGACACAGTATACGCGACACCAGCAAACAACAAAAGTGCATCTGGTACAAATATGCAAGGACGAACGACACAAAAGTAAACCACCAAAAAGAGACCGAAGACTTGAGTCGATCGTAATATTGGAATTTCTAAAACTTTCACATCTGAGAAAGAGCTGCTACACCGGAAAAAAAAGAAAAAGTTGGGGAAACAAAAAATCACAACTTGTCGTAATTTCTTCAAAAAAGAACGAAAACGCTGCCTCTCAAGCAGGTAAGTCACGGTTATCAAGCACCGACGGGGACAGTCCGCTGATGGCAGAAGGAGACGCTCTAGGTTGCGCGGATGTAACTGTAGACATGGCCACTATGGACTCTGAAGGACGCATAGTGATGACCGTGTCGCTGTCGTTCTCCAGCACGCTGTCATGGTTGGCGAACCCAGATCGATCATCATCGTCATCGTCCCTCCACCGATCCTTGCCGAACTGGCGGCTACTGGTCAGGAAGCGAGCGAGTGGCGCACAACACTCCGGACAGGTATCCATCAGCGTGGGTCGACTGTGAGTCAGTAGGGGCTTCACGTAACTCACGTCAAATGACCGCCTGAACACCAGGAACAAAATTACCCAGCAATCAGCGCACAAAGCAATAACTTAAGAAACTCGAAGAAAATGTGAGTTCGGCAAATAGATTCCACAGGATCGTTGTTCCAAGTGGCGCACTTTTCCAGCTGACAACACTGAGAACGTGCGCCGCTTAGGAACACAATCTGGCCGAGCTCTCAGATAGACCACTAAAAAACCATTAGATGGAAAGAATGAAATTTTAAATATTCAGTAAGGTAATTAAAAGTCGAAGAGCGGGAAAAAAGGCAGTCCGAAAGTCGTGCGGGCACTTACCAAAGTCTGGCCGCCCATGTTCGGTCTCGTGAGGAAGAGTTGCCCAGTGTCCCGTAAGCGTTGCCAGGTGGCGCGAGGGTCGACTCGGAGATCGACATCGAAAGTCGACGAGAGTCGTTCGTCGTCTCCGGAACCCCAGTGGGAATGCGGAGGAAGTGAAGGAGTTCGCCAGCGCCGCCACCCGCCACCGTTACGGTCACGATAACGATCACCGAGGTGGCTGTCAGCATGGCTTGACGCGCGGGTGTCACCGTGTTCCTTATAGCCAATGCAACTACGACAGAAAGGGACACATTCATACAAGTGTAATGAATTCGTTCGGAAAGACAAAGTTCCTCACATGAAATGGCGCCACGAAGACCGCTGAAGAACATCATGTGCTGGAAGTTTAGCGGGATTTTCCGCTTTCTTCCCAGGTTCAGCAAGGCGGACAACGGGTAAATGTTGCACACCCTGCCGAGGATCACCGCTAAGAACGCCACCATGATGAAGGGGACTGACCAGTAGTGGAAAGGAAACGTGAACATGGAGACACCAATGTACGAGAAAATAAAATTTTCCGCCAGGAAACTCAACAACTCAAACGAAAACTTGGAATGCAACTGCGACTCCTTCGACAGGTTATTGTACGTGTAGTGGGCTTGGAAGATCCCACAAAACAGGACAGCCACAATGCCTGTCAGTTCAGCTGCTTCGGCTATCAGGAACGTCTGGAAAAAGAAACACTCAGTCACGAAATTACTTTTGACTGTTCTGAGTTCGGCAAAAAGGCGCAGCAAAATTTCTTCGTCAAGTGACGCACGTCCTCGGTGTTATTGGCTGGAAGAGCGCGCCACACAGAAAAGCGATCTTATCGATTTCCCAAGTGGCGCACGTTTTCGGTGTTACTGGGTGACAGCATGCGCCACTAGAAAAACCGATCTGGTCGACTTGATTAATCTGCGTCCCATGGAATTTGGATTAAAAGGTAGTTTAAACTTTAAAGTACCGAGTAAGACATCAGGACGAAGAGCGCGGTCTCCAGTAAAGGATACTCGGCCAAGTGCGTGAACTTGGTTAGTAACGCCGTGGCACAGCCAAGAGCTGCTCCGATGGCTGAAGAGCCAAAGAAAGCTCCGAAGAAGTTGCCGAAGGCTCGGAAAAAAGCTTTCAAGTCGAACTCTTCGCCTGATCGGTAGTAGGCGTAAGACTGGACTGAATTGGCGAAAACGATGGCCACTGCATCGTTCAAGGCTGACTCGCCGAAGACCAAAGCGTGAAGTGTTACGTCGACGCGGATGTCGTGGAAGATGGCGAGGACTGTGACGGGATCGGTGGAGGAAATGATGGCACCGAAAAAGAGACAATCTGTAAAGCAAAGCGAAAGTTCGAGCTGACGCTTTTAGCAATCAGACAGCCATTTCCGGTCTAGAGTGGACCTTGAGCGGACAAGCCATGAAACTCAAGGCCGTGCCGAAGCTATTGTTTATTCTCTTGGATCTTTGAGCCGCTTGCGGTCGCGAAAATTAGGAGGCAGTTCAAAGAAGCCCACCGTCGGCAAGAATGTACGGATAACTATTGAAAAGCAAAATCTACACGAGAATAAAAAATAATTACCGTTGAACGTGAAGGCCAAAGCTGGCATAAGTCGCGTGAAGGCGAAGGTGACGGCAGCCACGACGAACACCGAGATGATGGAACCAAAGATGGCGAACGTGAAGATGGCTCCGAAGTTCTGGAAGAAGTGCCTGCGCTTCATGGAGTAGCCAGCGGAAAAGATGATGGGAGGTAGGATAATGTTGAAGAAAATTTCCGGATCGAAGGTGGCTTTCTGCTGAAGCAACTTGCCGGACGTCTCACTGTCCTTCCCGCGGTTGACTACTTCTCCGCGTAGCATGTAAGCATACGTTCTGTTCTCCAACCTTCTCGCATCTTTCTGCACTTCCAACTCCATCCAGACACTGTCAGGTGGCGCTCGTAGTACTCGGTCTGTTTCGGTCGTACTGGCTGCACTGCTAGTGCTGGAGGAACTACTGGATGATTTCGTTGAAGTTGTGGCCGATGTGGTCGTCGTGGACGTAACATTCTGGTAGGTTGTCGCATCTTGAAGATTATGTGAATCCACGGGATGCACTTCTACGTGCGACATCTCGGACGCTGGACTTGCATATCTGTGAAAAGAAATTCAGAACGTTGAAAGATAATTGCAAAACCCCGTATCGCACACTCGTTTCTCTTTCTCACGCTACAGATCAACTATACACCTGAGTAGAAACCAGGGCCCAGTATGATGAAGCACACGTGGAATAGTCTCAATTTATACTCCAAGGCTAACTGACATACTAACCTAACGAGCAGAAAGCAAGCTAAACAGCAGGAGTTACTTCCAGCGTTTCAAACAGCTTTTCTGGATGAACTTGGCCTTGGACGATATCGGATAGAACTGCTAAATCTTCTTACTTGATGATAGCGCCGATTATCAGCCCGTAGATGATGGCCAGTCCGGTTTCGTGGATGTACTGGAAGCGGCGATGCTTGAACATCCACACCGTAACCACCGTCAGCACCATCAGGAGAAGGTAGATTAGAATGTTCAGCGAATCCATCCGATGCCTGCCAAGTGCAATATAACCCATCATACTTCCACACATCTTACCACAGACCGCCATCCATAAGAAAAATTCTTACGCTTCCATGATCCTCTCATCCGCGCGAATCTCTAAAGGCAGATGATCGCTTGGCGAGGCCATCTTCAAGGATTCGCTCTTCCCCCACGAAGCAAACCACTTGGAGATGATCTCCCACACTCACAAGTATTCCAAAGACGTCTCTACATTTTCCACCTATGCTATACAACAGGAAAAAGTTTGATTACGAGAAAGAATATCGATCGAAGAAGTCATAATCGGCGATCATCTGTGCGAAGCGTGCTCTTATTTTCACCCCATTTGAACCCAAACAATCAAGCCTAAGCAATCAACTGACAGCAGTGCGGGAACGTACACCAAACCAATCAAGTAGTTTACCGTCGTCGACAACCTCGGGCATTATTTACGGACAAGTCTGAAGAAGGACCGATAATTTGAAAGTATGGCCCGGGTGGATATCAGCCGCCGATTTGGCGGCTCTCTCTCCGGTGGCCTGTCTGGTTTCACTCCATAGAAAAGCTGCCAAGTCGATTAGACAGAGAGTCAGAGAGGGCAAAATTTATGTGCCGGGAGTCGTCAGACGGTCCAGCTGATTGGTAGCTCGATATCGCGTGCACATGCGCATCCATTGAAAAGTGGGCGGAGCTGTTTTGCTTAAAGCAGTAGATGCACCAGAAGAACTTTTCGGCCTGGAAAGTTCGTCTTTGTGCGTCGTCACGTTCAGCAGCCAAGTTTTTCTTCCCTTTGATCCACCTTCGTTCCCGAATGAGACATTGTTTGCTTGTAATTACAAACAATCGCCTAGACTTCACAGGTTGCTGTAGGATCTTTCTACCTGGTGCATCCGGGCGCTAATCGCACGTGGACATTATTCTGACAGAGCTCGGTAAAGAAAGAAACCCAGCGCCGAAGTCCATTCATTTCTGCGGTGACATCTTCGTGGAATCTGCGGTCGATCCAGGTAAGAATTTGTTTGTCTGATGGATTAATTGTTTATCAGTCTGATTTACATCTTGCTGTTCATTGCGTTCGTAACGAAATCTTACTGCAAGCAGCTAGGACGATTCTTAAACCATTCCATCAGCTGACTGGGCGTCACCCTTGGAGGTGGCGCAGCGGAACGCTCTTGAAGCACTGGTGGTGCGTTACTTGATCAGGTTCTCGTCAAGGGGATTCAAACAATCAAGTCGGCAGTGAAACGCAGCTTCTGTTTCGCTTCATTCGTCTTTCCGTAATGTTCTTTGCTTTCTCTCTCGATGGAATCGTCACAGGACTTCTCATAATGGGTTAGGTGGTGTTATAATGATAAGAAGCGACATATTGGGTGCTTTCTGTCATTGTTGATGTTGGGCA